TTTATTTTGGGGACAAAGGCATGATGGTTGATATTTTTGTGATTCATTTATGGTGAACTGGTTTTGAGGCGAATTGTGTTGTTGAGATGTGCTTGTGATTTCTTTAATCAATGTTGATTATGGTTGGGAACTCGAAGTTGAAAGTTGGGGTTTCTATGTCTCATAGTCGAAGAAAAAAAAAAGAATAATGAGGATGAAGGAATAATTGGTGGAGTTGAAAAGTCGTTTGGCACAAAAAAAATTTCCGTATCTAGCCGAGCACGAAAGGCTAAAACCCACGGGTTGTGACGGAGCTGCCGTTCCCTACTTAAAACAAAAAAGAAAAAAAAAAGAGTGTGGAGGATGATACATTTAGACTTCGGCTAGAAACGGAAGGGAACTTGACTTGTTAGCAAAGAGAAGGGTGTCATTAGTTGCATTGATCGGTGCATTCGTTATAAAGATTGACAAACTATGGTGGTCACTTGGATTGATACTTGATTGTTTGAGTTCCTTCTATAAATTCGTCTTGAGTCCGGATAAATTAATTTGAGTTGTTTGAGCTATGCACTAATGTGAGAATTGTGAGGCCCAGAGTAAACTTCCACGTACTTGTTGTTCATCTATGTGCTTATAGTTATAAGTTGCTTGGGGACAAGCAAGAATTTAAGTTTGGGGAGATTTGATAGGTCGAAAAATGTGCACGTTTTATATATTTAGTGATGTATTTTTATACATTTAATTTATTCGTACATTTATATTTTTCGACGTATTTATTTTTTAGATGGATTCTTGTACTTTGATATTTTTATGGTTTATTTTTAGGATATTGGAGTGTTTTCGGCGACGACGTGACATTGGAAGAAATTTCATCCGGAGCAGTACGGGGTACCCTGTACTAACCCAGCAGTGCCCCATATCAGCCCAATTTAGGCCCATGTGTGCAAATTGTGTTTAATGGCCCCATTGTTAAGTGTTATTATTTGGTGGGCCCAAATGACAATTAATTGGAGGACAAGCCTGGGCACATTCACGCAGCAGCCATAAGAGAGGAATTAATTGGTGGAAAAGAACATATATTGAATCGGAGTCTCACACATACCTAGGAGGAAAAGGATTTATTTGCGCAACCATTATATATATATATTATACGCATAACATAGAGGAGGATATTATTTTATGAGAGCAAAGTAGAAAGCAGCTGACATTATATTGCGAGAGGCGAGGAGAATTATTTGCGCAGAGAAAGCGGACATCAGATACGAGAGGAGCCCGAGGAATTGCGGAGGGAGGCCGCACCCGTACACGAGGGAGATAATTAATCTCTCTCTTTTATCTATTATTAATTTTTATTATTATGTTAGGGTAGGTTTTTATTTCTAGTTCTGGGGAAGTCGAACCCTACGACTTGATGATGTTTGATTGATTTTCTTGGTTGATTATTGAGTTATCTTTTTGGAATTGTTTGTGTTATTTTGAATAATTCACCATGATGTGTTAGTCTTGTTTAGATTGATCATCTAGATTAGGCTTTTCATATCTACATCTGAATTAGACCTGCAATCCGTAATTGTTGTTGTGTTTAATTCATAAGAGGTAACCGGAAGATGGTAACTACCGGGGATAACACGGCCTAATTAAGTGAACGAACGCGGTTGAGTTCACTAATTAGTCTAGCCTATTTTTCTAATTCGTAAAGCGGTTAATTGTATTAAATCTTGAAAACGTTTTTCTGGATTGTACAAGAAGTCAAGTTTAGTCGTAGAGCGTCTCGCGGTTAAATTAAAAATAAGAAAAAATTCGGGTAACAGACCGTGTCGTTGCCTAGGGCTAGTAATTTCATGAGATAGCGAGATTTGATACTAAAATTGGTTTGACGAGTCAGTCGAGAGTGTAGACGGAACCGTGAACTAGAAAGTTCTCTTCATTTATTTATTTTTATTTTATTTCTTGTTTAGATTTTATTTATTTCATTAGATTTTTAGGTAGTTTGGTTATTAAATCAAAACCCCCCCATTTATCGCTTTTTATAATTTCAATTAATACGAGAAAATTCACGATTTGATTCACACTCCTCGTGGGATCGACCCTTGCTCGCCACTACTACTAGTTAGTAGGGGTTAGTCGAGGAAAATATAAATTTTAATTTTGCCGCGTTGCGACGCGCGGTCACAAGTCCTTGAAGAACTTCACGTACGAGGGCATGTTCTTGATCACGTCTAGGAGTGGCAGGTTGACGTTGACCTTCGAAAGCATGTTGTATAGGTCTCATAATTGTTGTTCCTGCTTCTCATCTCGAAGTCGGCTCGGGAAACGTATGCTTCTCTTGAAGGGGTTTGGTGACTTGCATCGAGCCTCCGCCGGCTTCCTCGAATCGGCTTCTGCACTCTTCTCAAGGTTCCCTTCTGATCCCTTGGGCTGGTCGGTCAGCTTAGGGTCATCAAGTTTGGGCATTTCCATGTGATTCTCTACCTCCTCCCGCTTCTCAAAACTGTGATCGCCTTGGCTTCTTTAGGCTGGCTGGGCAACTTTCCCTTGTCTGATTCAGATTCTATGTTTCCAACTCTCGTGGCAAGCTGGCCCAGTTGTGTTTCGAGGCGTTTGATGGATGCCTCGGTATTCAAACCCCTCTGCTCACTGTTGGCCATAAACTGGAGAATCTTATCCAGCTTGTCGTCCTGATTAGATGAACTGAAACCGGCCCCTTGCGCTTGCACTCCTACCATCGGACCCCTTTGCTGCTGTTGTTGCTGCTGTTGAGGATAGTTCGACCTCATCTGCTGTTGGGGAATTAAGGTGGGACGGGGTTGCTGCTGCATGAAGTTCTGTTGTTGTTGGACCACGAGAAGTTCGGGTGGTTTCTCCACCCCGGGTTGTATATGTTTGAGTAAGGGTCATTGGCTGGCCGGTTATGATAGCCTTGAAGAGCATAGGCATCTGCATATTGTTCACTGAAATCCTGATCAAATGCCGAGGGGCACACCTCAGACCTGTGTTCGTGGACTCCACAAGCACCACATGCTTCAACAGTCATAGTCTGCATTGGCTGGCCTCCCCTTGCATTCAGTAGCCGCATCTGCTCTGTGAGCTCGGCTATCTGATGGACCATCATGTATTGCCCAGAAGATACTTCATTGACCCCAGCCCTCTTTCCTCGACTGCTCTTTTGAGACGAGTTAGAACTCATCGCCTCAAAAATATCATTCATCTCCTCGGCCGTCTTTGCCAAAACATCTCCACCGGCCGCATTGTCCACCATGTACTGAAGTTTCTGTTGGAGAGAGTCATAGAAGCTGTTCATTAACAAGGCTGGTGGGAAGTTATGGTGTGGGCACTGTCTCTGAAGGTCTTTGAAGCGCTCCCACGCCTCATGAAGTGGCTCGTTCGGTTGTTGAGCGAAGGAGACAATTTGCGACCGTAGCTCCTGAGTCATCTGATGAGAGTAGTACTTCCCAATGAACTTAGTGTACACTTTCTTCCAAGTGGTGAGGGAGTCGGGAGCAAGTGTCATAAACCAAGCTTTGGCCCGGTCTTTGAGTGTCTCGGGAAAACACCTCATCTTCAGTTGGTCCTCGTTCAGGTTGTGGAGAGGAAAGGTCTGGAGGACATTATAGAACTCCCAGATAAAATGGAGTGGGTCCTCATTGGGTAGGCCATGAAAGGATGGAAGTTGGTTGTAGTGGATCGTCTTGAGCTCATAGTTCCGAGTTGCTGGTCCAAGCTGGATGCACGAAGTCACCGGCCCGATCATCGGTTGGGCCAAATCACGAAGAAGATGACGAGGAGGGTTATTTACTTCCTCTTCGTCGTTGTTTGCCATTCTGTCTCAGTTGTCTGAGTCCCAGTTGGCTGAGTCTGAATCTTCAGGGGCAAGGTTAGCCAACAAGTCTTGTAGATCCCTCTAGATGGATTCGTTGTTCGGGATGATTACACGACCACTCCTGGTACGCATAAACAAAGACAACAAAAAACGTCACAGGCACCAGATAGATAAGAAAGAGACAAAGAAAAGCAAAACAAGAAAACACTAAACCTAAACAAGAAAATGAAACGAAAAGAAACACAAAAAACAAGAAATCACGAAAAGTAAGAGAAACACGAAAAACAAGATGAATAGGCGCACAAAATAAGTCTTAAACCATTCCCGGCAACCGCGCCATTTTGTTGTAGTTATTTTTACTGGAGTTAAACCAAATGATCCAATCCCCGTGTCGTATCTCAAAGAAGGTCAGCCGGATTATTTGTACGGATATTCAATCACACGAAAGAGAAAATAAATTCCTAAACACTTATGATTTGGGTTTTCAGTTATCCACTAATAATTTCCAAACAACGCAAATAAACAATTACCAATATTTAAAACGAGTTTCTTCTACGTATGAAGGCTAGGGAATCGGGGATGATTATTCTCAAATCAAATGCAAATACCAAGCAAAGATCGTTCGGCTAGATGATTCGATCAACCTACACGTCTAGAGATTAATCCTCAATAACTTTTCGTAACAAGAGGGAAAACATAGACGGTAAATTAATCCAATCAAACAACACGTAGGCAATACAATTACGAACAAGCCTACCTAATCGAGCCTAAATCGACCGACTTCTCCCCTTTCGGTTCTACAAGTCGATTAAATAGATTAGGATGGTGATCAAGCATCTAACCTAGGTATAATTCAACTCAAATAGATTGAACGAAAATCACAAGCAAGATAGCACACAAATACGAGTAATCATCCCCTATCCCTAGCTTAAGGATTTAGCCACTCATGCCAAGATGAACACAAAACATTGTATAAAGTAAATACGCCAAACTCATAATCAAAATGAGAAGAAAGCTTACGATAAATAAGAGTCAAGTGTTGAATCTCAAGCACAATCCAAATCCACAATGAAATACTTTGGGTGTCACTCCCAAAAATGTCAATCTCAGCAAAAATAAGAGAAACAAGTTTTTTCGTCTAAAAAGAACGAGAGAAAAACAAAATCTGAAGAAGGAATAATCTGCCCTAGCCCGATCCTACTTAATAGCGAATAACATTTCGAAATTTTAAAAGACCCGGCGCCGCGGTGCCGCGTGATGATGTGGCAGCGTGAAGTGTGTCGCAGTCTCTAACACGGCGTGAAGAGGTTGAAGTGCCGCGGCGCGATGCTCGCCGCAGCGTGACTCCTAGAGAAGTCTGAGTACTCTGTCCATCCGTGAGAGGTGCCGCGGGATGGCTCGCGGCGTGGGAGACTGAAAGTGTCGCGGCGCGGGAATCTTCGGCATGGCGACTGAAAAGGTCCCTCTGAAGGCCCGTTAAGGGCTCCGCGTGTGTAGCAGCGGCGTGAGGTAGTTGACTTGCCGCGGCGCGACGTGCTCCACGGCGTGATGTGTGAGTTAGGAGTTCTGAAAGCTCGTTGATGGTGCCGCGTATGAGCTCGCGACGTGAGAGATGAAATGCCACTGGGTAAAGCTTGTCTGACATGCACTTTGTAAAATCGGGACAGTTTGACTGGATAAACTCCAAACATCTGGCCAAAATTCCAAACCTGCACACCTCCAAGAACAAGAAAATACCCGAAAATAGAGAAAACAAACGAATATATGAAAACAACCAAAAAATAGCAAAGACACGAAATAAACGACTGCAGGACTAAAAACCCTATCAAAAGACCTAAACTGGGGGCTAAAAACCTATAAACCAATAAGGAAAAAGATAACAAAAATAGGACAAACAATGATGGTGCTGGAATGTAATAAGCAAATTTTTTATTTTGCAACAAATAATGAGATATAAAATGAAGAAGTTCCTTCGTCCAATGTAGATGGTAGAATGAAAATATGAAAGGCTTGAAAAAAAAAAGGGCGGAAAAAGGGGAACAAAGCGACCAAAGGGTTTGGTTGAAAAACATGTGAAGAAATTCAAAAAATTAAAATCATTAAGTGACCGCGCGTCGCAGCGCGGCAAATTAAAATTTATAATTTTTCCTCTACTAACTAGTAGTAGTGGTGAGCAAAGGGTCGATCCCACGAGAAGTGTGGACTAAATTGTGAATTTTCTTGTAATAATTGAAATTATAAAAAGCGATAAATGGGGGGAGGTTGATTTAATAACTAAACTACCTAAAATTCTAATGAATTAAATAAAATCTAAACAATGAAATAAAATAAAAATAAAATGAATAAATAAAGAGAAAATCTAGTTCTCGGTTCCATCTACACCCTTGACCGACTCATCTAATCAATTACGGTATCAAATCTCGTTATCTTATGGAATTACTAGCCCTATGTAACAACATGTTTTGCTACCCGAATTTTTTCTTACTTTTAATTTAACCGCGAGACGCTCTACGATTAAACTTGACTTCTTGTGCAGTTTAGGACAGGCTCTCTAGATTTAATACAGTTAGCCGCTTTAGGATCTAGAAAAATGGGCTAATCGAAGTAGTGAATCCAACCGCTTGGTTCACTGAAATAGACCATGTTATCCCCGATAGTTACCATCTTCCGGTTTCTCTTATGAATTAAACCCAACAACAATTTTAGATTGCAAGTTCAATTCTAGCATTAGACATTAAAAATCTTATCTATGTGATCAATCTAAATAACATCAAACACATCATGGTTGCTCAGTCAAAATAACACAAATAATTTCAAAAAGATAATTAAATTATCAACTACGAAAATTAATCAAACATCGTCAAGTCGTAGGGTTCGACATTCCCGAAACTAGAAATAAAATCTACACTAACATATTAAATAAAAAAAAGAGAGAGAAGAATAAAGTTATCCTTCTCGTGTATGGCCTCCGCGATTTAATCGGTTTCCTCGCGTATCCTCTGTCTGTGTGTTCTTTGTCCTGCTTCCTTTTCTTTTCTCTGCGCAAATATAATCAGAGAATTTTTTTTAGCCATGTTGAAATGACTAACACAAATTTTAGCCATGTTAAAAATATCTTTTTTAGCCATTTTGGCACCTAAAAAGACAAAAATACTCTTACTACCTATTTTTATTTAAAAAAAAATAAATCAAAAATCCAATTCTGGGCTCCAGAAATGATTTCTGGATCCCAGAAATCCAAGAATCCAAAAAACGATTTTTGGGACCAGAAATTGATTTCTGGTCCCAGAAATCCTAGAAATCCAAGAAATGATTTCTGGGACTAGAAATCCATTTCTGGATCCATCCCAAAAACGATTTCTGGTCCTAGAAATGCCAGAAATTCCAGAAACGATTTCTGGGGCACCCAGAAATTGTTTCTGGTCCCAAAAATGCCAGAAATCTCATAAATGATTTTTGGACCCTGGAAATCCCCAAAACGATTTTTAGAATCATTTCTGGATCCCAGAAATGATTTCTGGTACAAGAAATCAATCCCAGAAATCGATTCTGGTTCAAATTTTATTATATAAGACATTGAATCATATATAAGACATGTTTTTTTGACATTGTCGTGTAAAAAATATGTCAATTGAAAAATATGTAGTTCAACCATCATACATGTATGCTCGACCTCAGTCGCTCAGCCCCTAGACAATTGCCTTCCAAGATCATTGGTGCTTTATTTGCGCCGGAGTTACTGGCAGAAGGGCGGGTATTAAAGCCGAGGGATAGAATGAGTGACCTGGAACGTGATCATGGTATTACGCTCAAATACAATAAAGCACTAAAGTCTCATAATGTCGCGTATGACTTCGTTTATGGAGATCATAATAAATCTTGGGAACTTTTGTCTGGATATTTTCATATGTTGATGAGAGAAAATCCTGGAACCACCACATGCTATGAGACAAATGACGATGATGTGTTTATGTACGCATTCTTTGCCGTACATGTTTCCAACGAATTCACTAATTGTTGTCGCCCTATGATTGTGATTGATGTACCCATTTGAAGCAATATAAAGGCATTCTGTTCGTAAAAATGGATAGGCAGAGACGAACTTTATGCATTTGGAGACCTTATCATATGAAGACTTTTGAAATATAATTCATGACATTGTTTTAAGAGACAAACACACGTGTGACTATCGATTTCACTTCTTCATGGCGAATGAAAATTGAAAAATAGAAAATTTCTTGTGAAGTGACTTGCACAATATGGCCAGATTGTTCCAAGTACCTATTATATAGATTAGGTTGCTACGAAAGATCGTGGAATAAGTGATTTTTCTACTCAACCACTAATCAAATAACATTTTTTTTTTTAGCAAAAGTGTAATGTGGAATGTGATATGGGATAACACTTCTGAACAAGTTCTATCCATTTTTTTTTTAACCTTTTATCATTAATCCTCAAACAAGAACTACAGAATAAAAATAAAATATAAAATGCTTTTGTCTCAAGTAACAAATCATAAATTCTACAAAATCACTTAGCAACAATAAAACAACCAAATGTATTTTTATCACAAAGTAAGAAATCACAACATTTACAAAATTAATTTGTCAACTGTAAGGATCGTGCTCGTACATGTACAAGAGAAAAAAGTAGAACACAAAATTAAGAAACAACCATACCGCTTATGCTGACAAATGTCAACTAAAAAAAAAAAAAAAAAAAAAAACTATCATTTCAACAGATGCTTCGCCCAATTTCGGCAATAACTGGAACACTGGAAGTTTTAAGGATATCCTCCTGTATCACCAAACATATACATTGTGTATCAAATTAAGGTCATTGCATCACAGCATAAAAATGATTTAAATATCTTTATTAAATGACTGAAAACTACTTATATAAAAAAGAAACTAAAACCCTTAGAAAACTATTAGGGTGTGTAGATCATCGCATACCTTGTTAGCAAAACTAATAGAGGGAGGAGATCAGAATGATATGTTTGATTTTCTTTCTTCACCTTCAACCTGTCAAAAAACAGATAGTGGTAACAAATATTAGTCTTAGCGAACTAAACCAAAATATATGTTCTACAAAGAGTTCCAAATTACAGAGCACAAGCCTATCATAGCTACCTGATTTAGCTATCTCTAATGATGTATTATCGCTGATAAATCGATATAAGGAAGCTTAGTATCAGGGTTACCTAGGATCCCTCCATCACTCTCTTTGATATAGCTGTACAAAAATATAACTCTTAAGCCATATTTCAATATAATAGAAGTAGGAAACTCAAACATCAATACACTCTTTGAAAAAAATGGCATTTAGTCCACGAAAGTATCCTGATACAAAAGGAATGAAAAGGAAATGGAAATATCTCTAGATACTTGTAAGACATTCTATTGAAATTAATCATGATGTTATCATTCAACTCGAAGAAGCCATATTTGTAATCTATTAGCAAACTAAAAATAAAAATAGGAATTACATGAGGTCTCCGATTGAACCATGTGTGCTAATAACTAGGAGTGTAACTTTATTGTAGACCACATTCAATGTCAAAATAGACAATACAAACACATTTTTGTTATCATGCTGTCAATGGTATAAATACTACTGAGAATGAAATAAAAACCTACTTCTCCATCCAGTGTGGAAGCCAAGGCATGGGCACTTGACTGACAGAAGACAAACACATTGAATATCAATGTGTTCCTCACTCTGAAGGCATGGGCAACTGTATCATGTTGTAGATTAATGATTCTCCTTCCCCCGAGATTGAGGACTAGGAGGACAGTCACTTGATAGAGAGCCTACAATTATTCATGAAAAAAACCAGGTACATTATTAGCACCCCAGAAAAATTAACTAACTTATCCATTTACTTTATCAATATAAAAATGCACTTAATATGCCCACTGAGATTACATAAAATAAATTAAAGGACTTTATACATGTATTATCAAATTCCTCCACATGATATTTGTGATTAGAGGCTCTCTGAAACATAAGCAAATTTGTTATCAAATTTGTCATAAAGTTCAAATGCCATAAAACATAAGCAAATTGATAAGTCTATTTTCTCAATGTCCTCGTCCGAATATGGCTCATCAATGCTCTATTAGGACAGAAGCTGAACACGTTCACTTTTGTTGTGATTTTTCCCATAACTTGAAATAGGAAGCAACATGATTAGACTATGCAATTCTTCATGAATCATTGAGGACACACTCACATTAAAAAAATAACAAGACCAATATAAAGATCAATGGAAGGCATGCACAGAAATTTTCATGGACTAGTGGACAAAGAGCAAATGTCTAAGCAATTTATGGTAACAGTTATAAAGTAAGATGTTCAAAATCGTTTAAAGGGAACAAGAAAAAAGCTTTAAGTTTTCTTTCAGATGGAAAATCTACGTCCAAATTGTAGGAAGGGTTACATAGTGGGATTCTTGTGCGTATTTTATAAGATGGTAGTCGCACAATTCATAAACTTATTTATAATAAAACAGGGTGATAGTTTTGTTTGGTCATGTTCTTGATTAATTTCTTTTAACCTCATCCATGACTCAGCATAATGTTAAACATAAAAAGAAACCGAAAAAACAAAGCACTTGCAAGTTCACCATTTCGTAATCTTTTAAAGAAAGAAACAAGGCTTCTTCGACAATTTTGTGATAGGCCCCGTAATTCTCACACATCGACACAAATTTCAAAAAGGCCTCGCTTTGACTCGAAACATACTGAAATAAAGTGATTTTACTTCATATTTGGAATCTGTGGATATTAGAAAACGAACTAGTAATCTTCTTTATTTACAAATACTCCTGACATGTGTTTTCACCTATGTGATGATCAATATGTAATGCAAACATTATTTAAAGGGAGTATCGATAACACTTCAAGAGGGCATTTTCTACTTCTGAAAGACAACTGAAGTTTCTCTGCAGTTAGACTAAACGACGGGAAATTCGTGATATTAGATACTTTTCGTTATCCTTTTTCTTTTCTTTTTAATCTGAGCACCAGTTATCATTGTAATAAAATTTTCAAGAACAACTTACTTGTAATTCTTTTGCGGAAAGGTCGAGCTCTCTCGGACTAGGACTTGACGAATAATGAAGAAGGTCCCAACCCCAAGCAAAGCCAGAAGTAACCGTAGGTAAGAAAGCTGAATCCTCAATTCAAACAATTTCGCTACCTGATATATCAGGTTTGCTTGTACATCTTCAATTGCCAGCGCCACTTGAACAGGTGTCCACCACGAAAGCGAAGAACATAAAATGGTATAGACAAAAAAGATGTTGTCCTTCAAGTTTTCTCAATTCCCCACCAACTGATAACTTCCACAAGGATTCTGAAAGAGGATGATGTTTATGAACTTCATTATCGTGCCAGTAAGACGATAACAAAAGAATTTAGAATCATATAACCACAACTCAAACAGAAGGATTCTACCTTTCTATTGAAGGAGCACCACTATCTGGTTAATTCTTAAAATATATATGAAAAGATAAGAGCTTTACATCTTTTCCAAGAGACAACATAAATATGGAGCTTTACATGCAACCTTGATTACCTTCATCTTTCGTCATGGTCAAGAATGAATAACTTCGATTTTCCTTTTCACGTACCTATCTTCGACAACAAACAAGATAAGCCATTGCCAAGTAAAAGAATAGACAAGTCGTAAGAATTCTTTAGTAAATCCTAATAAAGAATGTTGATAATGACAATAAACTAAAGCTAACAATTGCAACATAAAAAAAAATTTGCAGCATGGAAGGAATCAAACAATTACCAAGACATTTACTACACAATTGCAACATAAAAAAAATTAACATGCCAACAAAAAACCCTAACCTGAAAGCCGTCGGCCGTCTCCGGTCAGGCACTAGACCATCCGCCAACCCACGCCGTCGATTAGAGTATCAGGCTGCCAAAGGCCGAAATCGAGACGCCGCTTCCATCGGAGGGGTCCAGATGTCGCGCCGCTGCCAGAGCCATGCCTCCAGGGCCGGCCCTGACTAATGTCAAAGTGGGCATTGGCCATGAGCCCCCAAATATTTGGGCTCCAAATTTATAACTACATTATATATATATGTGTATGAAATTTTGTTAGTGAATTTTTCTACCAATTAAAAAGCCCACAAAAAAACTTAGCTTTTATTGGCCCAAGCCCAAACACATATAAGGAAATAATCATAAGCAATAAAAAAAAATCAAAGTAACTTTTTTTTTCTGAAATTGGAGAGAATATCAAAATAATGTTGCCATCAATATTCATCGTCTAACATTTCCACACAACCTCCCACGTTCAGATAAAGATGGTAGGGAAAGAAAAAAAAAATATAAAGGTGGTAAGCTAAGATGACGACAAGGATACTTGGGAAGGAAGAGTAATATAATTTTTGTCTCGTAAACACCATTGTGCATTATACTCCTCCCCATCTTTATAGGACCGTGTTTTGCTTTTCTTTTTTCCTTACGTCTTTTTCCAAGTTGTACTTTCTAACGGACGGAAAAATTTTTGAGTGTAGCGGATAAACAATTTGAAGCAACGACTTCGACGATTAAGCCTTTCTTTTCAGTCTTCAATTGATTCTTCTATTTATTCGCAAAAGTGAAACACTCAACCGAGAAACCTACTACAATTATTAGGGTTTTTGGGGTTTGAAGATCATTATCCAAGGCATAAATCAGGTTATATTTATCGATTATATTTTATAATTTTGGTGTTTTATTTTCATTGTGTGATTCTCAGACTCTTTTTTTATGTGTTTATCTATTATTACTTTTCACTTTAATTAAATGTATGTGTTGAAGAAAGGGCCCCTTACCCAATTTTCTCCATGGGCCCCAAAAATGTCAGGGCCGGCCCTGCATGCCTCTGTCGATTTTTTGCCGGTGAGGAGCACGGTCGGAGGTCGGACGTCGTCGGCGAGATTGTCTGCGGAGGTTGTGAAGTCTTCGTGAGGGGAAGTGAGTAATTGCCGGCGAGGAGATCGCGAGCTTCTTTTAATTTTNGTGCATAATTTGGGGGAATTATGTTGTGAAATATTGAATTTGAGAGAAAGAAAAAAATGGTGAAATTAAAATTGAGTTAAGGGTAATGTAGTAAAAATAAATGCCAAAATGACCAAAAAGGATGTTTTTTAGAAAAGGTGACCAAAATTTGTGTTTTGTAAATTTTAATGGCCATTTAATAGTATTCATACAGGAAAAAAATGGTGAAATTAAAATTGAGGTAAAGGTAATGTAGTAAAAATACATGCAAAAATGAATAAAAAAGATGTTTTTATATAAAAGGTGACTAAAATTTATGTTTTGTAAATTTTAATGGTCATTTAATAGTATTAACACCAAAAATAATTCTCACAGGCTGCTGTCCCCCCTATGCGTGGCGGCTGTAGCGTAAGTCTGTGTGGTGGCTTTTCTTGGGAAAATAATTCCCATCCAAATATTAGTCTTAGCCAATCAAATTTCAAAGACCAATCCTTTTGGAAATCAACTACTCTTTATAATCATTAAGTAAATGTCCAGCCTGTTAGATATGTTTAGATATACTCAAATCTTTGTATATCTTTAGTTGTTTTTTGTTTCCTTCTTTTTCGTATTGTACTCTATTTATTCGTACCCATGTATTCAGTTTAAGCAAGTGAGAATAAGATCTCTTTGATTATCACATGGTATCAGCCAAACTCTTTGGCAAACCCTAATTTTTTTTTTTTCGGCCGTTCCTGCTTCATTCATGGCCTCCGAGGGTAGCATTCCTTCGCTTCCTCTGTCTACAATGATCCATATGGTAAATATCAAACTCACTTCCGCAAATTATCTCTTGTGGCATGCCCAGATCGAACCCCTTCTCATCACCCAGGGCTTTCTTTCGCATCTGGATGGCTCATCCCCATGCCCATCGCGCGAGATCACTACACCTGCAGGTCTAAAAACTCCTAATCCCGACTTCGCCTCCTGGTATTCCCGGGATCAACTGATCCGACTATTTCTTGTTTCTACTCTTACGGAGGAGTCCATGGCCGTTGTTATCGGATGCACTTCGTCCCGCGATGTCTGGACCTCTCTGACTCGTGCCTATAGTCATGCCTCGAAGGCTCGAGAACTCAGCCTGAAGGACGATCTTCTCTCGGTCAAGCGTGGGGATCTCTCGGTTTCTGAATATGGACAGCGTTTCAAGACAATTTGCGACAAACTTGCTGCCATCGGTCGGTCTATTGATTCGACTGACAAATCTCACTGGTTCCTGCGAGGTTTGGGGCCTGCTTTTTCGACGTTCACGGCCGCGCAACTTGCTCAGGAGCCTCTTCCTGAATTCGACACTCTTCTTGCTCGGGCCGAAAGTCACCAACTTTTCCAGCGTTCATCTGACATCTCGCCATCGTCCTCTTCAGTTGCCTTTTATGCTGCTCCCAAGGGTCGTCCTCCGACCTCGTCTCAGCCACAAGGACGTTTCAAGAAAAATAAAGGCAAAGGTCGTCGTCCGCCGTGGTGCTATTTCTGCCGTGAAGAGAACCATGATGCATGGGACTGTCCTAGACGTTTTGACCGCTCTTTCACTCGGCCCTCCCGATCCTCTACTACAGCTAATCTGGCCGAAGCACTATCAACAGGCTGCTCCATATCGCAACCTAATGTCTCTGATTGGTACTTAGACACTGGGGCTTCTGCTCATATCACCTCGGATGCATCTCAGCTTGATGATCTTACTGATTACACCGGCTCCGATCGTGTCACAGTGGGTAATGGTGATCAACTTCCTATCACGCAAACTGGTTCTCTTATTTTTTCTAATCATCTCTATTTACGTGATGTCCTCGTTGTGCCTAGCATGACTAAGAATCTTTTGTCTGTTAGCAAATTGACCAGGGACTTACCTGTTCATGTTATCTTCACTGACTCTTCCCTTCGTATTCAGCACAAGGACAACGGCAACATAATCGCAACCGGCGTGCGTGATAGTGGTCTCTACCGTTTGGATTTGGCGGTCAAAGCTCTTACGGCTCATACATCCGGCTCTCGGCGTGCTTCCTCTGACCTTTGGCATTCCAGACTTGGACACTCCTCTCCAGCTATTTTATCTACTTTAGTCAATATGAAGTTGTTATCTGTTACTTCCAGTTTTTCTAAGTCCGTCTCATGTACTCCATGTCATTTAGCTAAAAGCAAGCGTTTGTCTTTTCCTGTTTCAACAAAACGATCTTCTGCGATTTTGGATTTAATTCATTGTGATTTGTGGGGACCTTCCCCGGTTACTTCTACTGCTGGTTTTCGGTATTATGTTATTTTTGTGGATGACTACTCGCGTTTTACTTGGTTCTACCCTCTTCGTGCCAAATCAGATTTTTATGAAACCTTTATAAGCTTCCAGGCCTTTGTGGAAAATCAGTTCTCTTGCACCATCAAACGTTTTCAAAGTGACGGGGGCTCTGAGTTTGTCAACAATCGTGTTAAAGCACACTTCTCTAAATGTGGAATTCACCATCTTCTATCATGTCCGCATACTCCGGAGCAAAATGGTAGAGCTGAACGGAAGCATAGACACATCACGGAGATGGGTCTCACTCTTTTGTTTCATTCTTCGGCTCCTCTACATTTGTGGGTTGAAGCCTTCAGTACTGCTGTGTTCACTATTAACCGACTTCCTTCACCGGTTCTTCACAATATTTCACCATTTGAATGTGTC